GCAATATTAGGTGTTAGGTAAAACTCTGACTAAATTTTACACACCATAAACACGGCGCTACCAAACATTTATTTTTCGTGTGAAACACATCTGTTGACAGAAAATGTACACAGGAATATATATACAGATGTAATAAATATAATGAAACAATAAATCAGCATTAGTCATGATACAGTGTACTTTATGGTTTTGGTATAGATTTTGGGAAGCCCTTCATGGTCAAGCTGATTATTAGCAGTGTATGAAATAAACCAAAAACCCAGCCAGACACCAGGGCTGGTAACTTCAAAATGTTACCAGTCCAAAATGAACTTTACTAGACCAGACACCAAGATATATGGTGAATTTACTCAGATGTATGGAACATCTAATATCTATACCAGACCATCAGACTGGCTTGCTGTCAAGTTAGACCGTCCGTCAGAAATCTACCCAGTCTCGGCTGCTGTCGAACGGGCCTTGTTTCATACACTGGTATTTGATTTGTGTTTTAGAAGTCAGTTGTCTGTAGAGCAGTTTGCAATGTTTCAAATGTTGAGATAAACAAAAGAGGGTTGTTTTTTGGTATTAATGATATAATGAAATGAAATCTAGAATCGTTTACAATAATAATAAAGAAATATATCAAAAATCATATAATTACAAACAGAAGCAATGCCAAATATTATATGTTTCATTTCCAATGATACTTAATGCTGGCAAGTTTTATCAATTGGCATGAAGAAAGTGATACATAGAGATAGTGGTTAGTCAGCCAGTAGAGAAAGTGATACCATGCTCTTTATTGGTCCTATTACATTTCCACTAGCGCCAGGCCAACAGGTTCGTGTAGATTTATTAATAGAGTATTCAGATTGGTCCACCTAGGGTGTCTATTGACATCAAAGCCATGGTACAAATATGCCCTGATAATCAATATCTCTACAATTAAATACATCTGTCACTTCATAGAGAAATGTTGATATCGACAATCAGTAGTATCACTATCAGCCAAAATTCAAATAATATATTTAATAATTTGAAACACCTCTACCATGTCTACATTGTTCTGCTAGACATGCTTAAACATAGTGACTATTCAATCCCAATAACGGTCAGCCATTGTTTGTATTGTAAGTTATACATTATTTAGTTAAGGTGAATATATGAATTTTTATCCATATGTTTACAAACGACCAATATACATCTCATAAATATAGTTTGTGTACTCAGGCAAATATTATTTGATCCATGCAGTCTTTTATTTGGTCATAATGGTTGAAGCCATCTGAATCCTTTTGTGACACAACGATGGAAGGACATCTCACAAGAAACAATGTGAAAGCTGAAGACAGTTAACGTCATTCGACAATTGTGATTTCAAAAATAGGAGATCAATTTATTTTTGTAAAAGGGAATTCAGAAGGATTAAGGAAAATGGGTAAAAGAGAAATTATTACGCTTGCGTGTGTGTCATATTGGCTTTGTTAAACCTGTGAGAAGTCATTTATTACCCTTACTCTTGTTTGGGAAATGCCAGAATTCTGACGCTTGTTTTGTTAAATCAGTATGAGGCATATACTGATAATAACAGTGTTCGAAATACCTGCCTGCCCAACCGCCTAAGACGGGTTATTTTTTCAACACGAACTGCCAGATTCTCAAATTCACCTGCCCAACAGCCGGGTTACAATTTAGCCATGTATATGAAGATATTTGGTGGCAGGTAGGTTTTGGTCAGGGCTGGCAAATTTTACATCTAATTAGCCCTGTGGTCTGGCTGAAATATGTGGGAGTTTCATACCCTGATAATAAACTCTATTTGTAATACATTTCTCTTAATAATTATGTTTTTCAACACAGTGTAAGTATGAGCAACATGTATCAGAGGGATCAATTGAATGTGAATAGTGAAATAAATCAATTCATTTATAGAAAGTACAATATCCTATGATGAACTTGCAGCATGATGGAATGGGATGTGAATGTGGGTTAGTTCATTGTGTCACAAAATATACCATCTGACACACATTTGAGACAGTCACATCGGTAAGCTTCCTGTATATTAGCAGATCAAATAATATAGCGAGCTTTATTAGAAAATCAGCAAACTGTGGAGCTTATTAAAACGTGACAATTTCAATTTGCTTCAGAACTTGAGCAATTGAGAACAAAATTACTGTAGTAGAAACATTTTTGATAATAGTAACTAGGCTGTTAAATATTTGCTACACATATGTGTTTAGGCCAGACCAATTTTATTTCTTGTTTTACAGATCCGCTAGTTGTATGTTTTCAAGAATAAGAAAAAAAATATAAAAGAATTTTCCCAACTCAAAAAATAAAAGCCTAATGTTTTTATTGGCCAAAAATGTTACCTTACAAGAAATATTTGTAGATTGTTTTTTTCCCCTTATAGACTTCATAAATTGCCAAAAGTAAAATACTTTTAGTATTTAAACGGAATATTACTTTGACTGGTGATTTTTATTTATTTATTTTTCCTTCCTGCCTTTAGGTTTTCTGAGGACAAAAATCCGTAATACAAGAAATAAATTTGGTCTGGCCTTTCTATAAATAGGACTTCAATAAACACAAGAATATACAGACTGTCAGGTACTGTCAGGTATAATTTGGTGCTTGCAGTTTGGCTTAGTGCTGAGTGCTCATGAAGGTTCCTTAAAGACTGGTCCAGATATTTGTCAGATACTTAATAGAGTGAATATCAGCGCATAAAATTAATAATTAAATTTGAAAGCTTTTTAAAAAATGACATTTTTGACATATATCACTCATTTGAAATTAAGAGCAGTGGGAACAAAGAAAGATGTTTAGAAAATAACAAAGCTACACATGTCCCCCACTTTTTGTTTTGTATTTAATTTATGATATTATTTATTAACATATTAATAATTGATATACATGCGTCTATAACTATACAGCGATGTTTGTTATATTTTGTAGATTAACTGCACATGAGTTTTCCCTGGTATTTGGTAAAACCCAATAGATCTGTTTTTGTAATTATAAAGATTTTTAGTCTGTGCTATTGTTTAATCAGCACAAATTGAATTATCAGTAGTAAATCATTTATTTCAAACTCTAAAGGTTCCTAACAACAAATACAAAACTCTCCTGTTTACTGTAAACTTTACTGCAATAATAACTGCAAATGTCAGTTTGCATTTGCTGATCATAACATAGACCAGTACAATGCTATTCCTCAATGTGAAAAGCAGTTTAGGGACAAAAATAATCTAAGAATTTGTTTTGAGAATTTTGTGAGATCTTACATGATGTTTTAGTATTAAAATCAGTGAAAAGCAGTTTAGGGACAAAAATAATCTAAGAATTTGTTTTGAGAATTTTGTGAGATCTTACATAGATGTTTAAGTATAAAAATCAAAAATGGGTCACAGATGTATGTCTTTTCTACTTGTCCCAAAGCTTCCTGTAAAGGCATATTTTGTGTATCTTCTGAGATATTTCTGTGTGTACACTGTACATAAATCATCATTCCTTTCATGTCATAAACAATGAAAGGGTCAGTAGATGTCTTTCCTATAATGGTAACATGCTTTGCAGAAAGTAGCATGTTGACAGAGTTGTCTCCCTTCAGAGTTTGAAGTCCACATTCTGAGTTGAGCTGACTTGCACTGCTTTGAGTGACTTGTGACTTGGCAATTGTTGAGGTTACTCACCGAGGACCTTGGGACACAGACTTTATAAAATGGCTTTGCTGAGTGTAATATTCAGTGTGTGCATGTTTATCATGTATCTGTGCAGCATTACCTATAATGTGCTGACAATATCTGATGGTACTCCCAACTGTACTGTGTTCACATTCAGAGGATATGGTGGAAAGTTCAAATACTTAACATTTTTAAATTTTGTAAGTATTTTAATTTTGTCTGAATTTTCTATAAAGATATAGACATGATGGATTTTTGTATATTTTTTATAAGGGTGTTGTGTATTTAAAGCTGGGTAAGTTCTTTTATAAATTCTAAATGATCTCTGCTTTGCTACAGTACACAGAGCAGAGTTCATGGCATGGATTTCACTGTTCTACTGAAGATGTGCATCAGTGGAGTTTCTGAAATCCGAAGTTCTGACATGAATAGACTGATATTCTTCTGTTTCTATTTTTTAGAATACTTCAGTCAGTTCGATAAGATGTGACCTTTGGTGTCACTCCGAGCAGTTAAACTTTATAATTTGAATATATTTTCCATTTCAACCATTTCAAATGTCTCGTCCTTGATCATGTCTGATCTTGTTAATGATTTTTTATATAGAATTGAAACTGCTGCGTATTACAGGTAAACTGAAAACATTCAAACTGACAATTTATGAACAAATAACATGTAAGTAGTTACCTGGGAAGCGATTGAATTTATGTTTGCAGTGTTGGTATTTTAGTTTTAACATCAGTTTTATCAGATTGTGACAAATATTTGCAGATAGAGTGGTGGATAGTATGAACTCATGTGTCAATCATTTCAAGTTGTTCAAGATGTCAGTTCGAATATTGTAGTGGTTTTGTCCCTGAACATGATCTCTCCTCCAACTGCTACAGACGTTCTACTACATTCTGTAGTGATTGTGTCATAGTTATGTAGTGGATGTAGGAAGTATACTGAGTGGGTCGTGATCTGTCCCCAGTTGCTACAGACGTTCTACTACAGTCTGTAGTGATTGTGTGATTGTGTGAGTGGGTCGTGATCTGTTCTCAGTTGCTACAGATGTTCTACTACATGCTGTAGTGATTGTGTCATAGGTATGTAGTGGATGTAGGAAATGTACAGAGTGGGTCATGATCTGTTCTCAGCTGCTACAGACGTTCTACTACATGCTGTAGTGATTGTGTCATAGGTATGTCGATGATCTAGGAAGTATACTGAGTTGGTCGTGATTTGTCCCCAGTTGCTACAGACAGTCTACTACATTCTGTAGTGATTGTGTCATAGGTATGTAGTTGATGTAGGAAGTGTACTGAGTGGGTCGTGATCTGTCCCCAGTTGCTACAGACGTTCTACTACGGCCTGTGTGCTGCCACTGCCGTCATGGGGAGTACAGGAGCACCAAGCAGGGATCCCCGGAAACGGCCAGCTCTTCAGAAGTTCCGAGACTTCCTGCACAACACCCTTGTTTTCCCAGTGGGAACTGTAAGTACTCACATTGCCCAAACACATACTTAAAATAACCATCATGGAAAAGTACATACTCTTAAGTTCTAAACCAGAAAACATTTTAAGGGAATGCTCTAAAAGGGTTTCAAATATCCAGTTACCAAAGTGAAAGTTTACTAATCTATGGATGGAAGTGATGGTATTGTGCAAGATTTCATTGAAAACTTAACATTTTTTTTAATAATCATGTGTATGGATGATGATGATGATGATGGGTGGGGTTTTTTTTCAGTTTGTGGTTGTAACATTTTGGGCAATCTATGCAGTGGACAGAGAGCTTGTGTTTCCCAAGGCTCTTGACAAGTTTATACCTCCCTGGTTGAATCATGTCATGGTGAGTATTGACACAAGTTTATACCTCCCTGGTTGAATGATATTATGGTCAGTATTGATACAAGTTTATACCTCCCTGGTTGAATCATGTCATGGTGAGTATTGACACAAGTTTATACCTCCCTGGTTGAATGATATTATGGTCAGTATTGATACAAGTTTATACCTCCCTGGTTGAATGATATTATGGTCATATACAAATTTATGGTTGAATGTATTGGTTGACAAAGTTTATACCTCCCTGGTTGAATGATATTATATTGGTCCTCCCTGGTTGAGTATTGATACAAGTTTATACCTCCCTGGTTGAATGATATTATGGTCAGTATTGACACAAGTTTATACCTCCCTGGTTGAATGATATTATGGTCAGTATTGATACAAGTTTATACCTCCCTGGTTGAATGATATTATGGTCAGTATTGATGAAAGTTGATACCTCCCTGATTGATGAAGGATAATACCTCCCTGGGACTGAGATTGACCTGTTTACAAGGGATATCACATATCATATGTCGTATATCTGTTCATATATTTATTCAGGTTTTGTTACAGTATGTCAATATGCGTAGGGTTAAGATGGCTGACCATTTCCCATGCACACACTAAGTCAACTGAGGTTTAAGCACATCATGTGCTTCGAATGTGAAAGAGAGTTACCTCCCCAAAGTCTTTATCACAGATATACCACAGGGTGGTAGTGGAATTGGGTTAAACGTCGTGCTTGAGAATATTTTGCTCATATGTCGACACGCATGTGTGTGTATGTGTATGTGTGGCTGCTTGTACTAGCCCAGACTTAAGCTTGTTTTATAGTGCTAGCCCCCAGAGATACCATGCCGCAGTGAAGCATGAATACCCCTCTCAGACACATTAGACTGACTCCGAGCCGACCAGTCCTTGCTGTACCCATGAATGCCGAGCGCCAGGCAGGGACCAACAAGTACCATATTTTAACGTCTTTTTGGTATGACATGGGGATCAAACCCGCAATCTTCCGCTCTCCGGGCAGACCCTCTAACCACTACACCACGGAGACGGTCATATACCAGAAATGTTGAAACAAGTAAATATTTGCTTTGTGGCCATCTGATTATATGGCGAAAGTTCAACATAAAGTTGATGACCCACTTGCTCTGCCCAAATGTCCTTCATTACCTCAGCCAGTCAGAACTGGTTTCACCAACAAGTTCATATGATTAGGGACCGTTCATAATTTATGGCTAGGGGGTGATGATGATTTAAGGGGGGGTCACCCATTTTGTTCTGGGGAGGTAGGGGGGTCATCAATTTTGTACACATTTTTCTAGGGCGGGTCAGCAATTTTGTACATAAAAATATTTAAAAATTATGCTGAAAAATATTCAAAGGGGAAGGGGTAATTGATTTTGTACATGACATGGGGTGGTCACTTACTTTGTACATAAATTTTAGGTGGGGTCATTCACATTGTACATGCTGTACCATAAAATCATCATGACCCCCTGGACATAAATTATGAACGGTCCCTTATCATAATACCAAGCATGGGCAGATCTGTAGGGGTGTCAGGGGGTTCGAGAGAGCCCCCCCCCCCCAATTTGAGCTGTAAGAGAGTTTAAAAAATCTCAGCACAGATTTCCATATAAATGAAGCATTTTATGTAGTATGTGCAAAATTTCTGGATAATCAGGGTTCCTCTGTAATATGTAGGTAATGGAATAAATTACCAGGTGGACACAAATGGTGAGTAGCCTATGTGAGTTATTTCCCTTGCTGGACAAAAACCACTGCTAATCGTAGACTGTGTATCTTTTATGTTGTAACATCCATATTGTCAATGCTGTACATTTGTATTTGGATAGTGTTAGTCAGAACCTGCTACATCCTCTGTTTCAGCACACCTTCATCCTGCCAATCCTGCTGATGGATAAATACCTCAACTATCACCATATACCGAAGAGAAGGAATGGCATTTTGGGCCTTCTTGCATTTGGTTTGGTATATCTCCTATGGTGAGTCAAGTGATATATGCTTCACTGTGGAGGGGGGGGCATAGCCTAGTGGTTACAACATCCACCCATCACATCGCAGGCCCCAGTTTGACTCCCCACATGGTTACAACGTGACTAGCTCACTCGCTTGCTCGCTCACTTCTTCATTAGTCCAGGCACTGGATGCTTGCATGTAATTGTAATAATTGATGCCAGAAACTTTAAACTGAAAGCATCGATCAAATTACTCTGTCAGCCATGTTATAGAGCCTGATCATCCTCATGTCAGCTCAAGGACAAGCATGAGGTACTTCTGACCTGTTCTTGTGCAAAATACTGACAATTGTTCACCTAAAAAACATTTCATGCTTTCAGGATCCTGTGGATTGCCTACTATGCCAACGTGTGGGTGTACCCTATACTGAAAGTCCTGGAGACCCATCAGAGGATCATCTTCTTTGCCTTCCTTCTCATGCTCTTCGTTAGTTTATACCTAGTTGGAGAGGGACTCACCAAATTTCTGTGGCGTAAGTGTTGAATCTACTCATAATCATGTTTTTAAGACTCACAGCCATATCATTCACTTATGTGAACTTCATGAAGTTAGAAAATGAAAATTAACATTTTAGGCTTGTCTGTCTCCAAATGAAAACAATGAATTACAAAATAATTCAAAATCGGAAATAGTTAGTGCAGTACTCGCCAATAGATACACTGTACCCAACAATATCTGCTGTTTGTTATTTTTATACTCATCACTGGAAAAAGTTGTCGACGAAACTATCATCATGTTATGTGTAAAAGTTGACATCTTTAGTGGAGAGGAGAGGAGAGGAGCATAATGATAGGAATAACAGCGCAACCATGCACTGCACATGCTGCATAGTATACGTCGTTGACTGACAAGAGGTGCTACTCAGCTGATGTGAAACAGTTGATTTTTAAGGTGTATGATTTCTTTCAGTGTGAAGCAGAAAGAGGAAACACATTTTCTGCCATCAATAAATACCCGAAACAAACTTCTAAAGCTTTTTTTCTCTGAAAAATGTTGTCTGTCAACATTGGCCTAATGGTCTAGGTTGATGCAAGTTGCATCCCTTGGAAGTGCTTTCTTTTAGTCTGTCAGTACGATAGCCATGCTCATGTAGTTTCCAAATGCTTGTAAACATCGAAGACTGGTGCCAGTACCTCTGCTTCAGACATTGCCAGGTGATATATCTACAAGGAGGTTGCCTTTATAAGGGTGGTTATTTTATGTGTGGTGATATACAGTCTTCTTGACCACAATATTATTTTATTAGATAATTATTAGATTTTTCTCCTCGTTTCTTTGCTAAATGTGAGTTGAAAGGCATGACGTTTTGTGGATATTTAACATTTTAGACAAACCTTTAGAGAAACAAGGCAACCTACCCAGCATTTTCATCTTTTATAGTTATTTGAGGACACTGAAATCTTGGGAGTCGGAATGCTTGGTAGTGAGGCAGATAAGAATCGGATATTTATGATTCATAAAGGCCTTAGATGTTTTGAACATATAATGAGTGACCTCCACAGCTGCCATGTTTGTTCTCCTTTTTTCAGGGAAAGAAATGGGAGCAGTTTTAGCAGCTAAGACAACAAAATCAAGCAAGTCAACTAAGAAGAAGAATCGTTGACAATATTTGTAGTTAGGATTTCATTGTCATCTCGATCATCAAATAGAGTTCACATGTCAGTTCTACATATGTGCGATGTTACTATCCAAGTCATTGATTTCTTTGATTCTGATTTTTGGTCACATGTGAGGTATGTTATTCTTATAATTATGTTTACTTGAAGACTAATTATTATTAGTGCAGAAATATGTTTCATAAAACAAGGGCTGTTTGTTAAAGTTGTTATGTTGTTTTATATTTCATTAAATTTGAAAAGATTCTTCAATTATTTAATTTCATTTTAAAAAGCAAGGTAGGTAGGATAAGAAGAGGTACCTTCTTGTTATAGTTTTTTTCTTTGAGGATTGTTAGACATTTTTAGATTTTCTGTCTGATTACCAGTTTTTGTAGTACTGAAAAAAAGTTTAATTTTTAATTTTTAACATTCTACATTTCTAAATATAAAGGAGGGGTCATCAATAACCATAAATTACTGGTATGAAAAACAAGATGCCATAACATGCCCCTCTAATGTGTTTGTTTGCATTTGAGCTCAGCCACCCCAGCTGGTTTTGTCAAGTGAAGCACATTCTTGTGACAGATGTTAGGGATGTTATGCCTAACCTGTCTACTCTACACGCCTGTGGAGTTTTTCTGAGAGATGATTTGATGGCTAACACTCACTCAGTAGGAATTAAACTTGAAAAAGGCTTGTGTACATTATAACTTCAGTATTTATGTAAACTGGTCTACGATCTCTAATGTGGATTCTTGACTGCATCTGAGCTTTTTGTAAGGTCAAGGTCACTAGAAGTCAAATTATGAAGCATAGTTCAAATTTCCCCAAATTTCATGAAAAATCAAAACATTTTCTAATCATTCATGATTGACGCTCAATAATTACCTCAATACCTGTCATATGTTATTATGTGTCAAGGTGATTTACTAATGAAATGACATAAATAGTACAGGAATTAGTGTTATGATGGTATGGAGATGTAATATTTGTAACACCTTATTAGTTTGCTTTAACAAATTTTCTTGCATGTAATGGCAGATGTCCCCAAAAGCTTGTGAATAAGTTTTATCTTGGGCATATTTTATTATAATTTGAACTTTATATACATGATCTCAGGCAGTTCTTTGCCAAAATGCCAAGGTCAAAGTCATTAAACTTAATGTGGTTATAGCCTTGTTGACAAAAGATAGTCTTCTGTTTCAAAGTTGTACATCATGTGGAAAGTCATCTGGTTATGTCAATATGGTTCTTGATACCTGTCTTTTATTTGGATTGTTTGGGATATTCAGAGAAAAGTAGTAACAGAGTTTGCCTCCGCGTTTGCAAGTAATACAAAAATGTCCAAAATTCTTTGTATTGATTCATGCTATGACAGAACAGCCATAATTACATTCTGTCAACTGTGTGTGTTTAATCTCAGACAGGAACGGTGACTGATAGGGTTACATGACAATGAAAGTTGATTTGTTTTGACAAATTGCATGTGGTCATGTAGTTTTCAGGTTGTGAATCCGAGTTTCAGGTTGATTTAGTTGTCATAACAATTGGCCCGGCCTCAGAAAATGTAGTATAACACTTACCGGACAGACTTTAGCAAGGCCTCAGAAAATTGTAGTATAACACTTACCGGACAGACTTTAGCAAGGCCTCAGAAAATGTAGTATAACACTTACCGGACAGACTTTAGCACGGCCTCAGAAAATGTAGTATAACACTTACCGGACACTTTACCGGCCTCACAGACTTTAACACGGCCTCAGAAAATGTAGTATAACACTTACCGAGACACTTCAGCACGGCCTCAGAAAATTCTATCAACAGACTTCAGCACGGCCTCAGAAAATGTAGTATAACACTTACCGGACAGACTTTAGCACGGCCTCAGAAAATGTAGTATAACACTTACCGGACAGACTTTAGCACGGCCTCAGAAAATGTAGTATAACACTTACCGGACAGACTTTAGCACGGCCTCAGAAAATGTAGTATAACACTTACCGGACAGACTTCAGCACGGCCTCAGAAAATGTAGTATAACACTTACCGAACAGACTTCAGCACGGCCTCAGAAAATGTAGTATAACACTTTCACGGACAGACTTCAGCAGCGGCCTCAGAAAATGTAGTATAACACTTACCGGACAGACTTCAGCACGGCCTCAGAAAATGTAGTATAACACTTACCGGACAGACTTCAGCACGGCCTCAGAAAATGTAGTATAACACTTACCGGACAGACTTCAGCACGGCCTCAGAAAATGTAGTATAACACTTACCGGACAGACTTCAGCACGGCCTCAGAAAATGTAGTATAACACTTACCGGACAGACTTCAGCACGGCCTCAGAAAATGTAGTATAACACTTACCGGACAGACTTCAGCACGGCCTCAGAAAATGTAGTATAACACTTACCGGACAGACTTCAGCACGGCCTCAGAAAATGTAGTATAACACTTACCGGACAGACTTCAGCACGGCCTCAGAAAATGTAGTATAACACTTACCGACAGACTTCAGCACGGCCTCAGAAAATGCACGGCCTCAGTATAACACTTACCGGAACAGACTTCAGCTTCACGGCCTCAGAAAATGTAGTATAACACTTACCGGACAGACTTCAGCACGGCCTCAGAAAATGTAGTATAACACTTACCGGACAGACTTCAGCACGGCCTCAGAAAATGTAGTATAACACTTACCGGACAGACTTCAGCACGGCCTCAGAAAATGTAGTATAACACTTACCGAACAGACTTCAGCACCATCCTTTGCTTACATTATGAATCCTCCATGAGGGCTCGAGTGTATATGACAAGGAAATATGTGTATTATTGAATTATACAAAGTGTGTCATTGGTTTATCATGAGATGTGTTGTATGGATGGAGTCTATTTATGGAAGGATAAGTGTACGTTTTAAGATGCCATGAATTCAAATGTTACTATCAAGCATTTTACTGCAATATTGAGAGAGAGACATTCTATTTGGCTGTGTTCTGTAGACAGACATTAGAATTTGTGTACACAGCACAACCATGCAGCATCACCAAGCTTTATAGTCACAGACAAAAGGAGTTCAACTAAGGCATCTTGCACTGCATATGGGTGCACTTGATTACAACTATTCTTATGTCATTCATTTCAGCATTTGGAGTGAGTGAGTTTAGATTTTTACGCCGCACTCAGCAATATTCCAGTATATGGCAGCGGTCTGTAATAATAATCATGTCTGGACCAGACAATCCAGTGATCAACAGCATGAGCATCGATCTGTGCAATTGGGAACCGTTGACCCGAGCCTGACCACCTGATCCCGTCAGTCGCCTCTTACTGCTAGCACCAATATTCTAACCCGGACCTTCACATGGTTTCAGCATTTGGAACACACTGACTGTATTTTCAATGTGTACTGATTTTGTTGATGCATACCACCAAAGTTGTCTTAAATCAATATGGGCAGATATTCAAAATATTTAAGTAGGGCTGGCTAAAATGATCGATAATCAGAAATATCATCAACAGGAAAAATTATTAATGATTATCAATATGAAAATTGTGTTATCTATAATATTGTACATTAACTTTTGTGATAGAAAATAGTTTTAATTTTCTGACACAATATACAAATTTAAGGCTTTATTCATGGTCTGGTTCTAACTTATGTTCAGGACGCTGTTGTAAATAACCCATGCAAAAACATGTCACAACTCACAACTAATGTGAAATATAATCATTTCTTTGAGCCATTTTTGCTTAAATCTCCGATATTTATCGATAATCGATCAATATTTAGTTAACACAACAGGGACATTTGTCTCAGTGATGAATATTTAACTTCATAATTTAATCATCTTGGCCTGTACATTTTGTATAACATTTATGATATCTGGTTTATATGTATGACAAGCCAAAGATGCAATGCTAATTGAATTTGGTGATGACCATGTTTATTCAGACATATTTCATTTCCAATCATCACTTCTTGTAGGACTGTTAACATGTATATTACCATATTTAACCCTATGAATCACCATAATTGTTTTTATATGATAAAATACGGTAACAGTTAATATGAACTGTTTAGTCAGGGTCATGAAATTGGTAGTAATAAGTGGTGGTAATGTTCCCGTACTACAGTAAACAGTCAAGACCTCATCACTGTGATATGGCTGGACTTCTGGCCAGAGTGACCTTGACCCCACCAACCCCACCTCCACTGAGAACATGCTTCACACAACTAAAACATTACATTTGAGCCATTATGTACACAATAAATATGATGAGTATGTAATGTGTTTTAAATAATAAGAATCACTTATTCATGTAAATATGTCCTTTTACTGTGTGTGAGGAAAAGTTGCAGATAATGGCAAATATAAAAGCAGTGGTTTAATATTTTATTTGAGAAATGTTTGTGTATTTTCTGCCCTGTTTATGGAGTGTCATACATCTCACTGAACCAAACTAGGCAATGGTTTTGTCTTCATATGCCAGCACAGCAAATTGAGCATGTTGGAGAAAGTGTTTATATTAACGAAGCCAAAAATATCATGGTTCTTATCCAAAGAAATTGTCATTTATCTGGCATGGCTCCTTTTTTGAGTGAACACTTTTGTACATTTGTTTGATTTTTTTTGTCACTTCCATTTTCTTTCATGCCACAATGCACAGTAGTGATGATTTTCAGTCTCCGGGTCAAGACTTTTGTATCTTTTGCCAGTGTTCATCAAATTTGCCATGACACAGTATTTGTTTATTTTTATATTTTTCTCAATAAATGTAAGAACTTATTGAGTGATTGGGGTAGACAAGAAGTGTTACATATTTGTAAGTTACAGTAAGTGAGAATGAGGGCAGCAGCTTGAAGTCCTATGAAGATGAGTGTCTGTCATCAAGGTCAAGAAGGGGAGGTAACTCCGACTTGACCATGAATCTGCATGTTTCATGAAAGACAGCAGAAAGCCGTCAGAGCCTCTTTGCACAAAGCTATTTTAGTACTAGGACTGTCTTAGTCTGTGTTTAGATGTGAGAGCCATTGCTCAAAGATCACTTTGAGAAATAAGTCTGAGATGGTCTTCAGATCCCTGCTAAACAGGACATATTTCTTATATATGGGACCAAATATGCATGTCTTCCAGTTTTACAGTGATGATTAATGTAGAGGGCTACTTTTAAGCTGTTTACACAAGGGGAGGTCTAATTTGTACCACTCAACTATGATTGTTTGAAATCCTGGAATCTGGCAAAATGTGTAGAAGAATTAAGGTTTGTTCATGTCCAAGATCCATTGAATGGGTTCTGTTTAATGCCAGGTGCATTGAAATAAGCTATTTGTTGCCAGAGTTTGTCACATTCCACATTTTTTTTTTTATGTAGCTTGTTGTCAGATCCATGTTGTATTTGTGTGATGCTTCTTTATCATGTTATGCAGAAATATTAGTATGCCTTTTCACATTTGTTTTCTATTTCTTTGAAAATAAAAATAAATGGTATGCATTCAATATTGTGAGTGTTGTAGATCTGAGGATCATGAACCTGGAATTTGACTGAGACTGCCTATGCCAAACATCAAAGTCACTCAAGGCATACATATAGTGGGGTTTTAAATAAAACATTTAGAGCTATTATAATTTCGTTGTATACCTCTGATTTTCCAACACAGTATGTTAATCTCCATTCTACCATAACCTCGTTATTACGATTTAAAAAATAATGCATACTGTGTTGCAAAAGCGTATATAATGTGTTTATATACCTCTGAATGGAGGTGGTGGGGTAGCCTAATGGTTAAAGCGTTGGCTCTTAACGCCAAACACCCGGGTTTGATTCCCCACATGGGTACAATATGTGAAGCCCATTTCTGATGTCCCCTGCTGTGATATTGCTGGAATATTGCTAAAAGCGGCAAAAAAACACACTCAACTTCTGAATGACTTTAATTAACCAATCACAATCGAGTATTTACTAAAGTCATGGTAAAATTATTATAAAGAATATCCCAGCAAATATTCCCTGAAAACATATTACACAAAGTCTTTGTAGCTGATAAAGTTTATTTACTTTGTGGATGTAAGCTGCATAAGTATAAGAATCATTTACAGCTTCATCAACTGCATACCAATGATAACTAAATAACCAGTCAGGTCAAGCACTAACCACATTATAACAATATGTTCGAAGTTGTATCTGGAAATACCATGTTAAAAGATCACATTTTGTCTCGCTAAGTCGACTGGAAGCAATTTGCACACAATCATAATATATATCAATAACCTGTTTGCCAGGTCTGGAGAT